GACCTTAAACCCCTACTCACTGAAGTCCTTTTGATGAAAACAACAACAACAACAACACCTGATTATAAACAGTGCAAACTTCCTTCGTTTTCATTTAAAAGGATAACTTAAATTGTATTAAGAAACAAATTTGGCCCTAACCGGTTTGGCTCAGTGGATAGAGCATCGGCCTGCGGACTGAAAGGTCCCAGGTTCGAATCTGGTCAAGGGCATGTACCTTGGTTGCGGGCACATCCCCAGTAGGAGGTGTGCAGGAGGCAGCTGATCGATGTTTCTCTCTCATCGATATTTCTAATTCTCTATCCTTCTCCTTTCCTCTCTGTGAAAAATCAATAAAATATAAAAAAAAAAAGAAACAAATTTGGACCCTAAACTATTGAAGGAAGCATTAGTTTCTAAATGGAACTAGGTTGGGGCCAACACGCCGACATGAGAGCACGTGGCCCAGAAAGTGGCACACAGGTGCGTTGACATCCATGTTGGCTGCTTTTGCCTTCACAGGTATGGACGGGCAGTGAAGAGAGACCACTAGGCCAATCCTGAGACCAGTCAGGATTGTGAAGGGCTTGAGTCAGTCTTATTTGCATAGTTAGGGAGTGACCTCACCATTCACACTGAGAATAATGTCGAAAAGTGAGCCTGTTGCAGTCTATTTTTAAATCCTCTTTTAAAATCTTATCTGGGTATTTTTCACAATTCTACATAATTAACATGCTTAAGAAGCACATGCAAGGCGCTGCCCTTCTAGAGACTGATGGTGGATCCTGGCCCCTGCAGGCATGGAGGAGAGGCAGTTTTCTTAAATCCTATTGCTGACCGTGGACTCACAGGGTTTACTCCACAGGTTAAATAAGTGTGTTACTCATTCACTAGACTCTTATTTTGTTAGATTACCTATTTGTTAGATGATACTTTTGAAGTATAACTAATTTAATTAAGTTGACTGCTTTCTTGTAGAACTTTGACTTTAGATAAAGGAAAATGGTAAAATTCCAGCTTAAGGAACCTTTCAAATGATGTTTTTGGAATGTTCTGAACTCCTTCCCTGACTTCTAGATCGGAAGTGCCAGCAGGAAACTAGCCGGTCATGTTTGAAGGGAAACTTTACCAGTCATGGGAATAAAGAATTATTTTGTCCTTATTCCAGCACTCAGACATGAGGTCATAGTGGTATTTCGAAATCTCTTCTGACTCACTGGTGTCTCCAGATGAACAATTTAGGTGTTTCTTTGTGAGCAGTTTATTCAGTGTGAAACTGTCAAAAGTGTACCTGTAAAAAAAGACCAAGTTAGCAGTCAGAGAACCTCAATTTTTTAAACAATATTCCTGAAATGTAAGATGCTAACTTAAAGTTTTGGTATCAGAATTAATCCCAAGGTATTAATTACTGCTAAATATGAGTCTAAAGGGGGAGGAGTTGTAGATAGAAGAAAGGAACATTGTTTCTCAAAATTGCAAAAGTGTGCCAAGTATTTAAAATTATATATTAGAGCTGAACACATCTGAGATAACAAATAGCTCACATGTAGAACTTCCTGCAGGATACTCTTTGGAATTCATTGTAAGTTGATATTATATAGGGTATTCTAATATATACTGGATGGTGAAAAGAATATACGAGGAAGCTCTCCAGAGAAAACAGGGCAAATTAAAAGAATAAAAAAGATTTTATTTTCTAAATTGTATTTCACATTGTGCTCTAGAAAGATGGATTATTAATGAAGCCACTCCTAAAGTAGAAGAAGCAAGAATGTCCTGAAAGATTCAAATTTACCAACAAAGATGCAGTTTTTGGTTGATATTACAAAATGGCCTTAAGAACATATCTTTATTAACGTTGGAACCAAGTATATGAAAATGCAGAAACACACAAACTTAGCATTGAACTGGTCTCTGGTACTACTCATTTCAGGACTATTAGGTCTTAGATTGTTATTGTAGTCTTGTGCAATATGCATGCAAGTATTTGATAAAATAATTTGCCTCAATATTTATTTTCTTAAGTGCAATCAGCAGTATTTTGGAACTCTGCAGAGTAAAGGAAGAAAAGAGTTAGTGGGAATTCATTGAACTTACTATCTGTGGCCAAATCTCACTACTTAATACATTAGAGACTCAAGACATGTTCATGGCTATGAAGTAAAGAAATTATGGTATATCAAGACTTTATATGTTCATCTTTTTCTATCCTGTTCCAGAGGCATCATTTCAGTTTTTTCCTTACCCAAGCCAATTTTTAAGTGTGTGTGTGTGTGTGTGTGTGTGTGTGTGTGTGTGTTTCAGAGAGGAAGGGAGAGAGAGATAGAAACATAAGTGATGAGAGAGAATCATTGATGGGTTGCCTCCTGCATGCCCCCTGTTGGAAATTGAACTCACAACCCAGGCATGTGCCCTGACCAGGAATGGAACCATGACCTCCTGGTTCAGAGGTCAACACTCAACCCTTGAGCCACACTGGCCAGACCCCAAACTAATTTTAATTACAGCTGTCTATTCCTTTCCCTTGCGTATCCCTGCCTCTATAATCCTACTTCTCCAATCTCCTTTTTATCAACATCTCCAGATGCCCTCACCTCCTTCCTTTTTATTTTGGACTCTCTTTATATCACAGCTGTTCTGTTTCATGCCCACTCAGTCTCTTCCCATGCCAATAAATACAGACATGAATGGAGCAGCTTAGAGACCATTCTACCCATCTAAGAAGACTTTCCAGCTCTTATTATTTGTAATGCTACAGTCACAGGAAGAATATCTAGGAGTGCTTAGAAAGCTTTTATTTTTTCTTTTGGCAGTGTGATAATAAAGTTTTAATTGAAGTATAATTTATAAATAGTAAAACTTACCCTTCTGTACAATTTTATGAGTTTTGAAAAACCCATTTAAATAAAACTCATCTCTGTAGTGGAACAATTGGTAGGTGGTTTTAAAAAAAATCTATAATTCAGTTAGAGAAGGTGAATCAATGTACACTTTGCTCAGAAAATCTGAATCTGGAAAATCATTCCACAAAAGAAGAATCAGAAAGAACTTTCTTTTTAAGGAGAAAAATGGGTTGTTAAATTAATAGCTTAACTAATTGTTTGATTCTGTTCTTTCATGTTTTGCTGAAAAATTTTCAGGACCCTTTAGAAATATTTTTAGTTTTCTATTTTAAATTAATTTTAGACATATGAAAGTTGTAAAACTGTATAGAGATTTCCCGTATGCCTCTCACTTAGATTTCATTAATGTTAAAATCTTTCATAATCATAATTCTCAAAACCAGGAAATTGACATTGATACAATACTTCTAACTAAACTGCAGATACCAATTTTCACCAATGTCCCTTTTTATGTTCTAGGACCTAACCAGGATCTCACATTGCATTTACTTATTTCTTCTTAATCTTCTCCATTTTTTTCCAGTCTTATCTCTTCTTGACACTTTTGAAGAGCACCAATCAGTTAATTTGTAGAATGTCTCCCACTTTGGGTTTATAGGATGTTTTCTCATAATTGGGATGAGAGTTATGAGTTTTTGGCAAGAATTTCACAGAAATGATCTCATAATGCTGATATGTCTAATTATTCATGATGAGCTTTAGGAATCTTGATGGTAGAAATTATGCTATCTTTTATCTAATATGTTAATGTTATAAAATATCAGTCCATCAAAATATTTGTTTTGTGATGCAAATAACATCAAACATCAAATGTGGATTAAGGAAAGCTATTATCATTACTAGTTAGTTAATGGAATGAGGTTAGTAGAACTTCACTAATAGGAACAAAATGTTCAATAATGAGAAAGGAGGCAATTCTTTCTTCATTATAAAGTGTAAGAAAGGAATTATTAAAAAAGGGATCTTCCTAACCAGTAGAATTGTCTTTGTAATAGAAAATTGTCTTGATTAAAATACTATGGGTAACTTATCAAGTAGAACATTAAATGGGGGGAAAGGTGATTGCTTTAAGTTCTGTTCTATCAATGACAGGGGAATTCTATCAGAAATTAAATCATTAGTTTCTAGGTCTAGTCTGTCATATGACCTGAAATCTTTTTATTTCAGCATTTTTTAAAAATATTTAGAACATTTAAAAATTCTGAACAAGATGAAATAAATCACCAATAATTTTAAATACTCTATTACATGTCCCAAACCTTATTAAAACATTGAAGCATCCTCATATGTTTTTTTTTTTGGGGGGGAGGTTGTTGTTGTTTTTTTAATATATTTTTATTGACTTTAGAGAGGAAGGGAGAGAGAGAGATATATCAATGATGAGAGAGAATCATCAATCGGCTGCCTCCTTCATGCCTCCCACTGGGGATTGAGCCCGCAACTGGGGCATGTGCCCTTGACCAGAGTCGAACCTGGCACCCTTCAGTCCACAGGCTGACGCTCTATCCACTGAGCCAAATTGGCTAGGGCATCCTCATATGTTTTATATGAAGGAATAAAATTGTACTTCAGGCTATGATGCTCTTAAAAATATAGTACATTAGGTTTTCTTTATAGATATTTTTCAGGATATAATGTTTATTCTTCAAAAGAGAATGGGTAGAGCCCAGCTGGTGTGTTAGTAGTCAGGGCACATGCCCAGGTTTTGGGCTGGTCCCCAGTAGGGGGCATGCAGGAGGCAGCCAATCAATGATTCTCTCTCATCATTGATATTTCTCTTTCTCTCCCTCTTCTTTCCTCTCTGAAATCAATAAAAATAAATTTTTTTAAAGAAAGAAAGAATGGGTGGAGACTCTTCTATAGATATCTGTATCTGTCATAGTGAGTAGAACTTTTCCACATTAAGCCTACTACTTTGGCACTTTTTATATTTCCTCATTTGCTAGGTTTTCTTTACTAGGAGCATTTCAGTGAAATACTTCTGTTTTTATTCTTCTTGGATTGTCTTTGAAACATTCATGAACTATGAACTAAATGATTGACCTGAGTACTTCTGTCCTTTCAATGTAATAATATTCAGTATAATGGATAGAGTTGTTTTGTGTGTTTTTATTTCAGTTCAGCAATCAGCAAACATTGGGAGGCTGAACTGGCTACCCTCAAAGGAAATAATGCCAAACTCACTGCAGCCCTGTTGGAGTCTACTGCCAATGTGAAACAATGGAAACAGCAACTTGCTGCATATCAAGAGGAAGCAGAACGTCTGCACAAGCGGGCAAGTACAGGCTGCTGTCCATGGAATTTATGGCCAGCAGATTTCCTTGATCAGAGGAAATTTACATGTTGATTCAGCGCAGGGACATCGTTTGGAGATTTTCATTGGTGCTCAGAGCATATGTGGGTTGTATTGTATCTGTTCTCTCAAAAAATAGCAAGTGTTCATTAAAAGTTATGTTGTGTTTGGGCTCTCAGTCAACCTATTGACTGAAGAACTATCTTTTGCCATAAGAGAAACTATTAATATGTAGACATTCTAGTATCAAATATTTAAGTTGTATTTTAAGCATATTTTTTCTTCTAGATTCTCTTACATTTTGGGAACGTATTAGAGAAATTTCTCACCTCTGCAAGGCCAATTTTCAATTAAATTTGAAAGCTACAGGGAGGGCAGATGACTATATCTGATTTTGAACATTATGAGAAGTTTTTAAAGGAATTTTCTATCATTAATCACTTAAGTTTTCCTGTCCTTTTCCTGACCAACCCATGTAAATAGTTATTTCCTTTGCTCTTTTTTGTCCTAAATCCACATCTTTAAAGAATCTTTTCTATTTATTCTTCGATCTTAATATTGCTCAAAATTAATTTTCATATATTGATTCAAAATTCATTATTCACCTGTTAAGGGTCTATTATCTCTTCAGTAATAAATTCTTTGAAATTTTCACATAATTTAACCTGAGTTCTCATTTAATTTTAGGTGACTGAGCTTGAATGTGTTAGTAGTCAAGCAAATGCAGTGCATACCCATAAGACAGAATTAAATCAGACAATACAAGAACTGGAAGAAACACTGAAAGAAAAGGAAGAGGTACTTTCTACTTTTTGCTCATCTGTAATCTAGCTAAAATATTAGAGTCTATGTACTTGATGGAATAAGGTAAGGCTGTGTGGGTTTTTTTAGCGTGAAATTTTCTTGAGTGATATTAACCTTGTTCATATTTTCTCCATCCTTGTTTCTGTTGTTATGAACTATGGTGAGGCAATCAGACTGAGATACTGCTTGTTGCATACCAATTATGCAACTCTCTGTCTGAGAGTTGTATCCATATGACCAACAGGAAACTATTAGAAGTTATATTTTACAAGCTGTTGCTTTCTCTGGTTTTCAGTTCGATTTAATATCCCAGGGAAGAATTCAAAACTTGAAACAACCTTAAAATGTTCAGACTGTTTCTGAGCAGTGGTATACACCAAAGCCATCATTAGACTTGTTGCTTGCTTCTTAAGATTATTCTGCACAAGACAACATGCCTATAAAGATGAATTCAGCCTGGCCGGAGTGACTCAGAGGTTGAGCATCGACCTATGAACCAGGAGGTTACAGTTCGATTCCCAGTCGGGGCATGTGCCCAGGTTGCAGGCTCAATCCCCAGTGTAAGGCATGCAGGAGGCAGCCGATCAATAATTCTATCTCTCTGTCCCTTTCCCTTCCTCTCTGAAATAAATAAAAATATATATTTAAAGTTGAATTCACCTCTCTAAAAGTCAGTATAAAGGAATGCTCTTTATTTTTTTATTGAATTTACTGGGGTGCCATTAGTTAATACAATTATATAGGTTTCAGGGACACAATTCTATTACATATCATCTGTATATGGTTCACCATCCCAAATCAAGTCTCTTTCCATACCTTTGTCCCTCCTTTACTCTCTCCTACCTCCCCCCATCTCTGTTTCCCTCTGGTAATCACCATACTGTTGTCTGTCTATGAGTTAATTTCTTTTTTTTTTTTCAATCCTTTCACCTTTTTTAAGGAATTTAAAGTCAATGTTCTTTAAATCATTGTCTTAAAGAACTAGGACAGTAATTTCAGGGGGAAATGGTGCCTTCTCTTTTCCTTGATATCACTTAAATGTTGTTGTTAAAGACATTGCTCTACTTTTTCTAGGAAATAGAAAGATTAAAACAAGAAATTGATAATGCCAGAGAACTCCAAGAACAGAGGGACTCTCTGACTCAGAAACTGCAGGTAAGCTCTAATAAAATGTTTATTCATGTCTGCATAGGAGGCATCAGTCATTCTGTCACATAGTAATGACTTTTTTTCTGAAACTCCATTTTGTAGATTCTTGGTCATTTTTCTTTTCCAGGACTTCTGATTCATGCGTAAGCTTATATTTTTTCAAAAAGTAGTTGAAAATTTCGTTTAGGTAGCTTACAGTCATCATAGGCAGTCATTTATAAATTATCTTTAGTAAATTATTTTAGAAATTTCGACTTTTAACCTAAAAATACTTTGAGTTTAAAGAAAACTTCTCAAATGGTTTTCATTCAGTTTAGAAATTCTGCTCATTTTTTACATTGAATTAATATATGAATTAAAGCAGGAGTTGTGCCCTAATGGAAATCCAGTCAGTGCTCTTCTTATGTTTTCAGTCTAATTAATTTTACTCACTTTTTTCTACATGTATACTATGCTTCCAATTTATATACACCTATTAGGTGTCAGTGGTAACGAGCCATCGTTAGGAAGATTTTTAAAAATTCATTACCGCCCTGACCGGTTTGGCTCAGTGGATAGAGCATTGGCCTGTGGACCGAAGGGTCCCGGATTCGGTTCCGGTCAAGGGCATGTGCCTTGGTTGCGGGCACATCCCCAGTCAGGGGTGTGCAGGAGGCGGCTGATCGATGTTTCTCGCTCATTGATGTTTCTAACTCTCTATCCTTCTCCCTTCCTCTCTGTAGAAGATCAATAAAATATATTTTAAAAAAAATTCATTACCAAAGTCTCCTCCTGTAAACTTTGATTAAACCCCCATGGCTACCTCAAGAGGAGTTAGGACCACTTTATGGTTTGCAGTAGAAATAAATGCATGTATAGAGTGAGGAATTTTGGATAAGAGGTGGTAAGTGGGACCTGAAAGCCCAGGATTGGAAAGAGTACCTAGATTATCATCAGAATGACCAGCAGTTATTGAATATTTACTATGTACTGGACACACTGCACTAAGCACTTCACTTATGTTATGCATGTATTCTCTGTGAGTCAATGAAGAAACAGAGGCTTGCATAGGCTAACTTGTTCAACCTGTATGTAAATGGAGACAGTCACATTCTCTGACAGTAGAGAGCCTTCATAAAGAAAACAGGTTCTTTACATGAAATGAAATATTTCCCTTTCCCCCTCCTATCACTGATTTTCAGTGGCCTGGGAAAAAATGAGGTCACTTGTTTTGATTTGCTCTACAAAATGTTTCTACATTTTAATCATCTGTGTAAATCAGTGGTTTTCAACTGGGTACAGTTTTGTTCCCCAGGGGACATTTAACAATGCGTGGAGACATTTTTTATGTTCACAAGTAGGGCGGTGCTACTGCTAGCTCATAGGTCAAAGCCAAGGATGCTGCAGAACATGGAGTCATCCAGTCCAAAATGTCAGTATGCCAAGGTTGAGACATCCTGGTGTAGAACTAAAATATGAAGCCTGCAATCGGGGCTGGGAAAATATGGGGGAAATGCAGCCTAGTTTTGTTGCCTGTTTCCACGTTGGCTACCATTTTTTTCAATATTGGCTATAATTCAGGCATATGCTAAACACTTACATACATTAGCTCTGATTCTCACAGTAACAGCTGTTGTATCCCACTTCCAAAGAGGAGGCAGCAGCTCAGAGGTGTTAGCAAGTTCAGTCAGGCATCTAGCTAGAAAGGAGTGAGGCCTAGATTTGTTTTGATTTCAAAATTTCTCTTCTTTCTTTATGACCACACTGCTTCAGGCAGCAAGTGTCCAATCATTCCTAACAATTCTTTAAAAAATTTTTTAGTTATATGTACATTTACATTATCCCGAGAAACTAAGAGGTAATTTATTCATATTAAATTGCTAAATGTATTTCATCATTGATTGATCAGTAATTGAATAATTACAGTTGGCACCTGGAATTGTGAATATCAATTTTTACCTATTATTTCCCTGAATATCAAAAGTACTTACCAAACTAACAAATACAGAGCTTGACCTTCTGCCAACTAGGATTGATACTTTCAGTTATTGACTGTAAAGCACTGGAAAGGGAGTTAGCAAAATTTCTAGCCTGTAGTGCTTTCTCTTTTTAAAAAAATATATTTTATTGATTTTTTACACAGAGGAAAGGAGAGGGATAGAGAGTTAGAAACATCGATGAGAGAGAAATATCGATCAGCTGCCTCCTGCACACCCCCTACTGGGGATGTGCCCGCAACCAAGGTACATGCCCTTGACCGGAATCAAACCTGGGACCTTTCAGTCCTCAGGCCGACACTCTATCCACTGAGCCAAACCAGTTACGGCTGCAGTGCTTTCTTTATAAGGGCTGAACCAGGCCTCTGGGTGTCCGGTAACATGCTTACATATCAGTAAAGGAGAAGGGGAAAATAGTAGGACAAGAATGATAATAAACAGAAGAATGAGTTAGGAGGGACAATACAGGAAGAAAAAAGAGGATTGGAAAATATGTACAGAAGGTGGAAGATTGAGAAGTGCCACCATCCAGGGCTCTGATGGGCTCCTGTTGGCCCCATGCACCGGTTGTCTGTTCTTGCCCTAGGATCACATTCTCTGCCTCAGAATAGACCAGCACCGTCAGCATTGTATTGGATCCCTTTTGTTATCTGCCTAGTAAAATTCCTCCAATCAGAAAAATGGCTTAGAGTGTGAGACTCCTTTGAGAGAGAACAATACCGTTTTAATAGTTGAGAGAATTTTGTGTTTTGCTTGCTTCCATTGAAAATGTTTGGATGTTTCCTTGATTGGCAAAGAGAACAAGGAAGCCTTTCATTTTAAAGGAAGGCTTTAGAGGGCAAACTGGGCGGTGCCTGGTGAAGTGGGTGTTTTCTAGTGAATGACATTTCGTCTATTTTTATAGTTGGAAACATCCTACTCTTAAGCTTATTGTTTAAGCAGGCAAGAGAGCACGCTGTGCAGTCATGAGTGGCATTTTTAGATTTGATCCCAGAGTCTATTTTCTCCCTCATAGTTTAGAGCCTCCAGGGCTTCTGAATTTATAAACATTTTATTGATTTTAGATTCTGCGCTCAGTTTACTTATCTTCATCTTGTGGATTATTCAAAGGAAAGAGATTAGAAACGCACCTGGTAAACATCTCACAGTAAATACCTTAAGATTAGGTTGGGATTCCTTAAATTCGTCATTTATAAGTGATTATAGCTGCATAATTCCTTTTTTATATTTTCCCAGGCTGTTGCAACGCATCTGTGGCATTCTGGCTTAAGCCTTGATCTTAGTTATTTCTGTCAAAGCCCATGAACATTTCTACATGTTCGGAATCCTAAATCAACTGTTACTCTCTTATGTATTCAAGCCATTTCCCAGTTATTTTTCTCAAAAGTTTAACAGGTATCATAAGACAAATTTCGGAAAAGTACCCATAATCCCAAAGCCCTGAAGTAGTTCCTATTTCCTATTAGTACATTAATTCCCAGTGTTTGTCCTCATGCATACAGATCTGCTTCACATACTGTTCTTTTTATTTACCGAATTGTCTTGCAGTAATTTAAAAAAATTTCCCCCTATCCTTTAGACTTTACAGAATTTTTTAGAGATTTATACTTAAATGATGTACTAATGTTTTTGAAATATAGTTTCTGAGGCTGATTCATATTGTGTTACTAACACCAAAGTGTTTTTATTACTCCATAGAATTTGCATACGTGAATGTAAATTGTGTCAGTCACCTCAGTCCTCTCAGATGTAAAAGTGAGCTTTCTAGAAAGGCTATATACAGTAGTCCCCTCTTTACCTAGGGTTTTTTGTTTTTTATCAAGATTGCACAAAAACAGTTACTTGTGGTCAACTGCAGTCTGAAAATATTAAATGGGAAATTCCAGAAATAAACAATTTATAAGTTTTAAATTGCACACCATTTTGAGCATCATGATAAAATCTTCAGCCGTCCTGCTCTGTCCCACCCCAGGACATAACATCTTTGTCCAGCGTATCCGCATTGAAAAGGCTACCCACCTATGGGTCACTTAGTAACTGTCTCAGTTATCAGATATTTTGAGAGAGAGACCACATTCCCATAACTTTTACTACAGTGTGTTGTTATAATTATTCCATTTTATTGTTAATATTTTACTGTACCTAATTTATAAGTTCAATGTTATCATAGGTATGTATGTGTAGGGAAAAATACAGTATATATAGGGTTTGGTACTCTCTGCAGTTTCAGGCATCCACTGGGGATCTTAGAATGTGTCCCCTCTCAGATAAGGAGACTGCTGTAACTTTCAATTCATTGCTTATCTGCAACTCATATGCTTATTTAAAGTATAATAGTTGATTTTCTGCTTTTTTTCTCAATTTTATCTTTTACTGAAATTAAATCAAACCTCATGTTATGTTATTTTATTTTATAGAATTGCTTACTATATTTGTCACATTTAGAAACATTTTTAGAGCAGTAAAAACTTCTAAGTATGCCAGAATTTAATGTGTTAAAAAATTATTTTTGTTGCCATGAACTTCCTTTTTTGTGATTATTTTTCTTTCCTTGTTTTCCAGTATGTTGGAATTATTAGCTTTATAATTCTTATATGTAGTTGTTATATATCTTCACTATCATTTTTAGCAATTGAACTATATTTTCTACCACATGCATTCATTCGCTCTTGTGGCAAAACAGAGAATAATTAACATATTCAGAGGATCCTAAAACTTAATTTTAGGGAATCATTTTCTTCTCTCAGTCTTTCTCCAGAATTGCCAGTAAGGAGAAAACATTAACTTCCCTCTTTTTCTCTGCCTGCTTTCACCAGAGATTGCTAACAATTGTGCATTAGGAACAGCATGGTAGCAGAAATAGAAATGAGATACAGGTAATCCTCTAAGGGGGTCTTCAGTACTGTCTCGGTATTTGAAGTGCCCAGGGGCTTGCCTGGCACAAAGTAAGCAGTCAGGACATTTTTGTTAGATGGGTAGGTGGATTCATGCACAAACCCGTCGGTGAAACCGCATGGATATCTCAGATGGTGAAGTCTGAAATCTCTCCTAAAATTGTGTTAACCTGAGATTCATAGCGACCACAATATTGGTAATAACAAAAGTCGTATCGTTTTCTAAATCATGAACTGACGTGTATATATGTCACACTTTTGTTTCTAAAGGAAGTAGAAATTCGGAACAAAGACCTGGAGGGACAACTGTCTGACTTAGAGCAACGTCTGGAGAAAAGTCAGAGCGAACAAGAAGCTTTTCGTAATAACCTGAAGACGCTCTTAGACATTCTCGATGGGAAAATATTTGAACTAACAGAGTTACGAGATAACTTGGCCAAGCTTCTAGAATGCAGCTAAGGAAAGTGAAATTTCAGTGCCAATTGATTAAAAAATACACTGTCTCCCTTCATAGGACTGTTTGGGCTCTGCATCAAGATTGCACAAAAAATTTAAATATCACTCCTCCGGGAGGAGGATTTTTTTGAAAATTGGAATTGTATATTTCAGTGTAAATTTTAGAATCCAGCTTTTAGCTAGTTGGGGAAAAAAGAGATGAAACACTTGAACTACAAATTACCTCCATGTATATTATTGGCCATAGTTAACTAGAAAATTATAAATAGACACTTAATGCAATCCTTTTCTTCTTTTTCCTGATATTAGCCAATGGGAGAATTAACAATGTCTGGGTCACATCCCCCTTTTGTGTTCAACACAGTGAAGGCTATCTGCTTTTTAACTTAATTTATTTATGATATCTAAAGCTGTGTTTTGTGCAAAAAAACTTAGTGACGAAAGCCCTGTCTTTTGTTATAATCTGAATAATTTCTCAGGATATTTTTGCACTGTTGAGAAGCAGTGTCATTACCAGTTAATTCTTGCCAGGAGTGAGAGAGAGCTGCATCTTTAATTGAAACATGCTTGCTGTGACGGGGTGTATAGAGCTCTTCCCCTTTTTTACGCGGGAAGATATTTCACTCTGGTGACCACTCTGCTACACTCTGGTGTTCTCTAACCTTGTCACTGTATAGTTTACTTTTCCATATTGATTCCATGTATTTATGAGAAGATACTGTCTCCCATTTTATTACACATTTTAAAGCCAACTAATGAAGGCAGCTGAGTCCCTCAGAAATTTTTCTTTTTAAATTTCTAATAAATTTGACACAGTACTGAAATGCAGCAGCCCGTCACTGACGGTCTGGTCTAGCAATGTTAAGTATATTTACAGAATATGCAGTTACCTTTATTTATATATTTTGCAAGAAATCTTTTCTGAATGATCAACGCATTTCAATTTACAAATAATTATGGTTATTGGGGAACTGTTTATTATAGATCATTTTCAGGTGTATAGCTATTTTAAAGGGATCCATTTCCATCAAACAGCTGACCAGAGGACGATTGGGATTGAGCCGTGTACTCTGTCTGGATCTTCACGCCAACCATCTCTCTAGTCAAACCTCACAAGGCAACATTCTGAACTGTTAACTGGGCATTTCAACACAGGAATTCAATTCAATAGGCTCTTCTCAGTGAACAGGTTTTAATGTTGTTTTGATGTAATTTTAAAAGACTTTTAGCGAAGATGCATTTCTTTATATATTTCTTTTAAGAAGCTATTTTAAAAGTAAGGCACGTGCTGTTTAGTCTGCATATGGAGTAGGAGTTGCATCAGAGTCCATGTATTCTCGCTGTACAATGCCTGCGATGTTGAGGAGGGTTCTTTTTTAAAGTGTTTGCTTGGGAATCTGACTCTGAGGAGTCTACAAAGTGCACTGACTTTTGGTTTGTACCCCCAAAGGATTGAATTGTTAAGAACAAAATTGAGCTAATTAATCAATTTGTAACCATTTTTTCACTCACAAACAGCTACTCAGCATAGGCAATTTTGTTTTATATATGTATGTGTATGTATGCAAATACATACATATTAATTTATATTAGAGTGAAAAATAAATGGTTTGTTTCTAAAGTTAGTTTCTAAAGTGAGTTTTCAGATGTCTCTGAAAAGTTTTTATCAGACACTTAATCATCATGTATTACATGTGCTATGACATCATGTGAGTTACCTCCATCTATTTTAGGGTATTTTCCTCACCTATGTATTACAGGGAAGGTAATGTAGGTACACAAGCTCAGAGCTGAGATATTTCTCTGACAAATCAGGTAATAAAATTTTATTTAATTGATAGAATTTTGAAGTAGATGTGATTTTATCTATCAGTTTCTGAGTAACAAAGAGCACCAGATTTTGATTTAAATAGGGGATTTAACTCTAGGGATCAGGGAATGTAGATATGAAGAGTTAAAAATAAATAAACAGTGTAAGCTGTTGAAATGGTAAGTGAATTATTTTAATGATGTAATAAGATATTTTTAAATTTTGACATAGTTATTATATAGTGGGAAAATAACTCATCAAAATGTCTCCACTTGAGTTGTATTGATATGTGAGATGTGTGTAACTCAATATATACATATACCCATATGTATATACAGAAAATTATTTTTAATATTTTCCTACTATATGAAATTTAAAATTGGAAATTTTCTGAGTTTTTTCCTTGTCCAATAGAGCCTCATTTTTTTTAAAGTGATCTAACAATTTCTTGAGGGCTGCACCTTTAAATTCCCAGATTGTCATTAGACGTGTACAGTATATGGGATAAGGTGGACACAAGTGCACATATAAATAAAAATCTTAAGACTATTTTAAACATTGATTTATGGTAGGAGAGTATCTAGAGTCATCATTTTCAAGTCATAATTAGGTTGTGTGCCTACTGTAGTTTTCTCCATTTCTGTATTATAGAAATAAAAGTTTGCATATTAAAATTTGATTTTCCCAGAGACAAATATTATATAATGTATCTATATTTAGATCAAACTGTGGTAATATATTTGTCAGAAAGTAATGTTGGGGACTGTAGCCTGAACATGTGGACTCGAAGTGACACAGAAAGGAGAGCAGAGGTTGATCCCGTTGTGTATAAGTTATTATATGAAAACTGAATTCTTGTACAAAAAAACCACTGAAGAAAAAGAAAGACAAAAATACAGTTTTTATTTTGAAATACATTTGTTGTTCTCTGGAGAATGTACTTTATCTTTTTCCCCCCTCAGTCTTTTACAGATACTTTTTAAAAAGCGTTCAAGTGATGGCAGCATTTACTTAAATCTTACAGGTGCTATTGGATTTTACATTAGTGTGATCTGTTGTGAAACCCTAACTTTGACATAAAAGGTTTTGTAAGTATTTTCCTGCCTGGGAAATTAGTTTTGGTCTCTCTCTCTCTCTCTCTCTCTCTCTCTCTCTCTCTCTCTCTCTCCCCTCCCTCTCCCCCCTCTCCCCCCGCCCTTCCCTTCTCTCTTTTTTCTCTCCCTTACCGCAGATTTTACAAAGTTCATGAAGGTGCATCCCTGCCCTTACAGAAGAACTCCAGCACCATCATAGATTTAATGTTTTGCTGTCATTGAACTGTTGGGAAGCAATTACAGTAGAGAAAAGACTTACACTTTTTTTTTCTCCAAGTGGAACTTGAAAAAGGGACACTCAAAATTAAACCAGTACCACCTTTTTAAAGTCATTTGTTTGTTAAAGAATTAAATTCCTTGTTCAAATTAAATTCATTCTTTAACAAGTGTGCTACAGTCTTCCATGTTTTCATTTAACTCTGGAGTACGCAGCTCGCCTGCTCTCTCCTGCGCACCTGATTTCTGTCCGTTCTGGAGTGGGAGGCAGGCAGGGGGAACATTTGTTAGGTGGAAGCGTTTGTTTGTTTGTTTGTTTTTCAATAAATTCTTTTGTTTATTTGACATCAAATGATTTTAACATCCTGAAATTCTGTGCTTGAAGTTATAAAATAGTCTTCAATGAATTTTTGTCTTCTGGATATTTAGCATTGTTCTTTTATCATTCATGAAGTAAATTATAAAACTTGAATAAGAAAACTTCCAGATAAGTAGTAGTTGAAAATGACATATTTTTAAAATTTTCTCAAGTAGCCTATTATACCATAATTTGTTAAGATGATTTTTATGTAAGAATATTTTGAAAATTATTAGAAAAGTATCTTTTTAGAATGGCAACAGATGCATCATTTACCTTCCTCTAATTGTGCAGATGTTCCTCATATTCACATTAAATTGGACCTTACATTTTTATGACAGTTTTTCTCTATGGGAATCTGATATGTAGATGTCACACAAATAGAAACATAGTTAATTGAATTAAAGACATGATGTATTTATTTATTTAACCCTCACCTGAGGACATATCTTTCATTGGTTTCTAAAGAGAGTGTAAGGGAGGAAAGAGGAGGAAGAGAGAAATATTGACATGAGAGACACACCGATTGGCTGCCTCCTACACTCGCCCCTACCAAGGCTGGGAACCTGCAACCAAAGTATTTGCCCTTGACCGGGAATCAAACCAGGGGGCTGTTTGGTCTGCAGGCCGATGCTCTAACTACTGAGCTAATCAGCCAAGGCAAATGTTTTTCTTTTTTTTTTATATATTGCCTCATAAAATAGCTACCAATTTCATCCAAGAAAAAAAAAAACACCTCAAAAACTCAGTCAGCACTCACTGCCTAGTGATTTCTGCTTTGTACACTAGATGAAAAAGAAATGTAAGTCATTTTTACCAAAAACAGGTGACACAGGGAGAGAAATTACATCTGGACTAGATAGAATAGGGGAAAGGCCACACCTCCCAATAGACTTCTAATGGAATTGCTGGTCTCTTTGAGGACACTTCTTTCCTTTCAAGGACCCATTCCAGAGGATACCAGGAGTACATCAGGGTGGGAAGAGGGGTTTTTTTGAGGGGGAGGTCAGAGCCAGCAAGAAGAGTAGGAACATGATGACCAGTTTTTCTCTAAGGAACGGCAGGATAGCCAGAGACACATAAAAGTGCTATTTCCTACCTTCTGCTGCTTTTAAATAAATGAGTTGGGATTGCCCTCATGAATTTCAAAGGCTTTCAGAGACCTTGAAATTTGTCTTGTCAGGATTTATAACCTAATATGACAATATTCAAACTCACCATTCTGTGGGATTCTGACCTACTTTTGTCAGTTATTTTCACATCCGATCTACCCAGGGACAGACATATTACTCTGCTTTCTTTTAATAACACCAAATTAAGGTGATAATGGGTGCCTAATAAATGCAAAATTAAGCCCATTTTTGTAGCATAGAAAAATGTCTTTTGTTGGTAGTTTTTCTAGCAACATTCATGATTTTATCTGTGTTATATGTGCATATATGTAGTCAGTCATATATCTATGACCTCTGTCTATGACCTATTTAATTGTTATACCTTAAGCAGAATGACTGTTTCAGAAAACATGGCTAGAAAGCACATGTACTTGAAGTGAATGCTTTCCTGACAACTTCAGTATGAAAAGGAACATAAAGGAGTATTTGTTGACGATCTGCTGTACGACAGGCACTGTACTAACTGTTTGACATTTCATTTCTACATAGAGGGGGCCCATCCAGGGGTGTTCCTTTGGAAGGGGGTGGAGGAAGGTAGGGAAGAGGCTCAAATGATTGCACCTGAAGTCATCGGGCTGGCCATCCAGTGTTCCCTCCATCATCGGGCTGGCCATCCAGTACACCAGTTAAAGAAGGTGGAAATCTAGGCTCATTATTTCTGGTATAATCTTTCCCTCTAGCTTGCCTTCCTTGCCTCTCTATAATATCTCTGTTAGGGCACTTAATTATATATTTTATGTTCATACTCCTTGAACTTCTTCCTTTAGCTTCCCTTGTTTTTGACAGTGCTTATTGTCATTCAGTTCTAAGTCATATTTTGTTTGCAGCTGTCACGTTTTAGTCCCAATTTTTAAAATTTAAGCACTTCAGATAATATAAGGAAAGTAGTTTTATATGCAGAATTCAGTCTATAAAACTTAGGTATCAAACTATTTCTAAAGGCCTTGGAAAGGCAGTTCATCTCTCAAGTTCCCTCGTGAAACAAGTTGTAAACCTGCACAACTCACCCCCCTCCACTGAATAGCAGGTCAGCAGTCAGTACTGAGTTAGTTTGTGGTCGGTTCTGGTTCCACAGCAGTTGAGGCCTCTCCAGGTTGATCAAGCCATTGGCTCAGCCACAGAAGTAACTCAGTGGATGGTAATAAGCCTCACATAAGTAGAATCATACAATATTTGTCTTTTTGTATCTGGTTTTTTCATTTAGTAAAATGCTTTCAAGGCTCATCCATATTGTGGCATATATCAGAATTTTATTCTTTTGAATGCTGAATAATATTCCATTGTATAGATATACCACATTTGCTTTATCCATTCATCTGTCAATTGACATGTGGGTCATTTTTACCTTTTGGCTATTGTGAGTAATTCTGCAATGAACATTCATGTACAAGTGTTTGTTTGAGTCCCTGTTTTCATTTCCACCTAGGAGTGGGATTGCAGGATAATGTGTTAATTCTATCTTTAACTTTTTGAGGAACCAAAAGGATTGGGTTTGAATTGGGTTAATTGAAAAGATTCATAGAGCAAGGTGTCGTCTCACTGGGAAGTCCCAGTTGTGGGGTTAGTGCTTTGTTAATAGACCTAAAAGTGATCATCGGCCTCTAAGTCATGCTTCTTACTTTTGCAACTAAAATATTTATTGAGCACCTGTTATGCCCCACCTGTTATTCTATTTTGGAATCAAAACAAGAGAGACGCTCACAATTTAGTGCAGGACACATGTACTTTACAGTGTAAAGTGCTGGGAAAAGGAGAGCACTCACATGAGGGAGCCCAGAGGCAAGAGGAGTGGAGAAGTCTTTTCCAGAAGAGATGGTACCTGTCTGAGCCTTGATGTAGGAGTAGGAGCTAACTAGCAGAAAAATAAGTGAAAGAGAATTGCAGAGTATAATGGAGAAGTAGGCAAAGGGAAGAACAGGAAGGACTTTAAGTTGTATGAAATTGTGGGTTTTATTCTGAAGGAAATGCAAAGGTATTTAAGGATTTCCTGTAAAAAAGTGATGTAACAAAAACATGTTTTATAAGTCTAGGTATTGTGTGAAGTACAATAAATCCCCCATCATGGCAGTGGCAGTGGGAATGGAGAAGGTGGAATGGATTCAGAGAGTATTTAGAAGGTGGAATTAGTAGGGCTGATTGGCTAATGTAGATGACAAGGAAAAAGAAGGATGCGGGATGATTCCTAGATCTCTTGAGTTGGACAACCAGATGAACAATCCCATTTATTGAGAGAGCAAATTCAAGAGAGGAGGTGAGACAAAGGATGATGAATGATGAGTTCTGTTTTGAGTTTAAGATGTCTATAGAACATCCAACTGAGATCTAAGTCTAAATGGAGCTTAGAAGAGAAATATGAGCTATCTATTTGGGAGATATGTATTTGGGA